CATTATTCGTATCCGTAACCGAGTCAATCCGTATTCGTATATATATCCGAACGCTATCCGTGTCCAAATCCGAATCCGAACAAAAATATGAAAACAAATATAATATGAGTGATATCCGTTCGTATCCGATCCGTTTTCATCCCTAGCCACAGCACAGGCACTCGGGGAAGCCACCTCTAAAATTCTTTTTTTTGTTTTTTGCTTTTCCATGTAAACAACAAAACATATATATATATATATATATCACAAACCACAAATCAACACCAATATGTCACAAACCACATTTATATATCACAAACGACCAAATTTATCCGAAATCCACAATATATTACAAACCACACGTTCAAAAGTACACACTATTCCAAGTTCACAAGTTCAATACATAAAAACGACTCCGAAGGCGGCTCACGGCGACTGTGAGGGGTGGGACGCCCCAGCGTGCGATCCCGGCGACAGTCCAGGTGGGGATGGCCCGACATGCGATGCCGGCGACCCTTCGACATGGTTCGACGCCACCCCCGATTGATGCTGCAAAAAAGAGAGGAGATTGCACGTGAGTGACAAGATAAAAATGTAAGGAGTTTAAAGAAAAGTTGAAAATTTCGGCAACACCTCCCCTACACGGGGAGGTTTCCAAAACCTGCAAGAAAAGCGTCGGCACGAAGGCCGACAACCACATTTCCGGCACGAAGGCCGACACATCAACAAATCCGGCACGAAGGCCATCACTAGGTTTGACACTAAGCATGAGCAAAGAAAGTAAAACATCCGTACTCATACTCACCGGAGTAGACTCTAGACGATGTGGTGGTGGTGGTATGATCAGGCAACAAGAAATAAATTGAAGTGAAATAAGCATAAAACATCAAAATGCTCTGGTTAACTGAAGAAAAAACATACCCACTGATATGCAATCAGCATTGCCCATAGCACTACAGATGGAATTCCCTAGCCTGCTAAACAACTATTACGTGTCTTCAGGTCACATGTGGTACTGGAAGGAGGAATGAAAACTCAAAATAAATGCTCACCCCATGTTTCTCCATCAATGAAGCAGGGTGGAAAAAATCAGGAGATTGATCATAAAGAACTGTCGCCCTGGAATTGCAGACTAGAGAATGTGAACAGCAGTCCTTCATATATATGGAGAAAACTATGTTTAAGTTTGATCAGTCTACCTGATTCCCCAATTTTGAGCAAGCTCATGCTGCATTGCTTTTGTAACACAAAAGGCACCATCAGCCATCTGCCCAAAGTGCTTCTCAAACCTATAGAATACAGAACAAGTTACTATATTAACAGATATTTTCAAGTAAAGGAACAAAATTCTAGAACACCAAGTTATATATGTTATGTTAATCTTAACAGAAGATAAACGATCAGGGTAAAATGGATTACCAGAAATATATTTTGACTATAATGTGACTTCTTCCATGTCAATCAAGCGATACATGCTACCTTGGATTCTCTCCCTCCTTTCTATGATTTCTATATTTACACAGAGTTGTTGATTTTCAGGTATATGCTAATTCATAGGCAGTACATTATTCCTATATATGTACTCTCTCTTTCCTTGATTAATCTCTCTCACTAATGAAATTATCATATGACTATCTTTATTTTTTTTTCAGAAAAATATACCTCTGATGAATGTAAAAAATAATAATGTATGGAGGTCTATTTGGATTACTGTATGCTCAAAATTATCTTTACTAAATAAGAGATTTGTGATGTCTGGAACTCTACAAGATCTTTGCACTCAAAGAAAAGAAATGTGTTGTATAATTTGTATCAATGATTTAGACATCTCTGCTCCTCAAACTTCTTGGCATTAGTTGCCGTGTCATTCATGGCTATCTCTTTCCCCTCCTGTATTGCATGCTTGGTGTTCTGAACATCGGATAGGTAACTGTAAGGACTATTCCTTCCTTCACGTCACTCCAAAATCTTTCCATGGCCAATAGATAATTTTTTGCTACTGCGGAAGCAATCAACTGCGCGCAGCAAGCTGGAGAGACGGTTCGAGTGCAGCCCTGCCCAATTTAACCGAAACACTGCTAAAACAAGATGGTGGATTTAGGAGGAGCGGACCTGGTTATCGAGCGAGAGGGAGTGGTACTGCATCCGCGGGCTGCGACCGATGTCGCCCAGTACCACGACTGCCGCGCGCTTCCTCCTCTCCGTCGCCTCCGCCATCGCCGTCGCCGTCAGCCTACGGACAGGGATGGAACCGGTGAAGGACATGGGTGTACACATGCACAGCCGATTAAGTTAGGTTTTGGGTGCTCGGTTTAGCACATCAGGAAGAGAAGGGAAATGGTGCGAGCGGGAAAACCTGGCGGACGCTCGTCGTGGGCGAAGGGTCCAACGAAGACCTCCGGCTCCTGACGCAGGGCGGCGGCGGCGGCGGCGTAGCCCAGTCGTCGCAGGCAGAGAGAGAGAGAGAGAGCGCCGGCAGGGCCTGCGGGGGCGCGCGGCGCAGGGGGCTAGCTGCGGCAGCAGCGGGGGCTGCGGGGGCGCGCGGCCCGGGGGGCAAGCTGCGGCGGCGGCGGGGGCTGCGGGGGCGCGGTGGCGCTGGGCCAGCGAGCGGCAGCGGCGGCGGGTGTGGGTGTGGGGTGGCCGGTTAGGTTTAGATAAGGCCTGCTGGGCTTTTTTTTTTAAGTCTTCCCTCGGGAAAAGCTCTTTCCTGAGTGGCGGGGAAAAACTCGGGGAAGAATTTTTTTTTTTTGTTTTTTGTGTATAATTTTTTTTGTGAGTTTTCCCATATTATTTAAAACTCCTATTCAAATTTGGGATAATTTTGATTTTTTTTTGTTATATTTCGTTAGTTTTTTTTGTTTTCGTTGAATTTTTTTTGCATACTTTAAATTTGAACCTTGATGGTGCGAAATAATGGAATTTGGTGATTCAAAAATTATATTAATGATATTTGGTGTATGTTGAGGCCTTATCCGAAACTTCGCATGAAATGTCGAGCATCTTGTTGACGTAACATGGCGAACAACTTGCGAGAAAAGTGTTTTTAAATTATATAAAATCGAGCGAAATCAGAAAATTCTCGAAACTTATGCAGGCATCGTGTTATACGCATATAGAGGCTATGAGAAAAATCGAGAAGGTTTCGAGCATTTTGTATCGGACGTTGGATGCCTAAAACTCGATTTTTATCATAGCCTTACATGTATAACACTTTCGCATAAGTTTCGTGATTTTTGACTTCGCTCGGATTTTATATAATTTAAATACACTTTCCGCAAGTTGTTATTTGTTACGTCAACAACATGTTCGATATTTCATGCGAAGTTCTCGGATAAGGCACCAACATACACCAAATATCATTAATATAATTTTTGAATCACCAAATTTATTATTTCATACACCGCAGCTCAAATTCAAGTATGCAAAAAAAATTCAACTAAAAAAAAACTAACTAAATATAAAAAAAAGTCAAAATTATCCCAAATTTGAACAGACGATTTCAAATAATGTGGGAAGGCCTCAAAAAAAAAATAAAAAAAAAAAAAAAAAAAATTCTTCCCCAGTGCCTTTCGGCACTCGGAAAAGGCCCTTTCCCGAAAAGTGCCGTGACAGGCATTCGGGGAGGCAGCGGCCTCCCCAGTGTCCTATTTCGACACTCGGGAAAGGGCCTCTTCCCCGAGTGCCTTCCCTGGCACTCGGGGAAGAATTTTTGTTTTTTTAAGTTTTAACGGCGTGGGCGGGGTGAACCGTCGAGTAACATGTTTCTTTGCCGAGTGCCGATCTTCCCCGAGTGTTGCACTCGGGGAAGAGGGCCTTTGCCGAGTGCTGATCTTTACCGAGTGTCAGGATCTCTGCGGCACTCGGGAAAGCCTCTCTTCCCCGAGTGCAATTCTTCCCCGAGTGCAACACTCGGGGAAGATTCTCTTTCCCGAGTGCCCGATTTTTGGCACTCGGGGAAGCCAGCGACACTCGGGGAATTTTGTCTCTCCCGTAGTGGTAGGTGTGTCCATGTGAGACTTGGTGACTCACAACATTATCTTTGGTTGAGTGATTGGGTCTAGTCCAACACTGAGACTGGAAATCTGGAATAGTCAGGTGGCTTAGTGAGACTACGTGAATCCATTGCCTTTGGTCGAAAGCAAACATCATGACTGGAAGAGACATGGTGTCCGGGAGTGTACCTCGGTGGAGCTCCAATATGGACAAGGTGTTGTGTTTTGGCAACCAATACCACATAATAAATCCATTTGTCTATTTGCCTTCTTTATGTCTTGCATTACTTACTTTTCTAGTTTAGGTGTTAGTGCCAGTTTGTGTACAAGAACGATCTTGAGTGTGAAAACCAGGATTCCATGCTAGAGTGTGCTTGTTTTGAAATTGGCATAACAATATTCTTAGAGAAATTAAAGGTCAGAATCTTGTTTTGAAGACTTTTCTCCTAAATAATAAGGCTTATATTGTTGGAGCTAGCGCAAGGTAATTGTTTTTGTTCAACTTAATTCAAGGTACACGTAGTGAATAAACTAGGTTTAAATGGAAATACTATTTTTTTTAAAGAAAACACATATGTATTTAGAATCCTTAGGCTCTATATCTAGTACATATATATCATGACTTATTTGCTTTTTGGTGAAATAAGCAAAACCAGTTCAACATTGCTGTTTTGAGATAACTCTAATGTTAGACTATATATACATTATTTATGCGTACCTCATAAGTTATGACGCCAAGTTCTACGTGCGTATTGCAAAATTATTTCACATGTTGCCTTTGAGTGAGCGTGATAAAACAGTAGATATTGCAGTTTACGGTTAACAACAATTGCAGTTGATTTGTTTCAACGTAGAAAACCTGAAAAATGATTACAACCAATGGCCCAAAAATTCCCTCCAATTTGTGTTTGCCTGCCCCCTGCTATGTTGATTTGTTTACACACGACAAATTATGAAGAAACACACCCCTTAACTTTTCCACAGTTACCTAGTAGTCTCTCGGTGGTGTCTTACACTACTGCTTACTAGTCATGGAGGTGGAAGTGATTCGACCACCCCCCACTTGTTACTAGTCTTGCTGCTGCTACTCTCCCCGTCCTTGCCGCCCACCACCTGCCCGTCCTTCCCCATATAGCTGTTGATCGCGGCCGCGATAGCCACGGAGAACTTACTTGGGTCTGCCATGACTGCGCCGACATTGTCCGGCAATGTCGCCGTCATCTTCTCGTCGCCGCCGGTGCTCCAAAACGGCCTCTTGCTCCCTGCTGGCAGACCACCACCACCGATGCCCTGCGAAGGGTCCGATGACCACGGGTACTTGCTGCTGAAATGTGGCGCCTGCTGAGCTAGCATGGACGACGAATGCCCGAACATGTTGAGATGCTGCACGCCAGTGGCCGCGCCAGGGGCGCTGGGCATTGACGACGGTGGTGCGCTGAGCAGCGGCGAAGCGGCGGAGTGGTGGGAGGTGGGGTTGAGCAGGTACGGGGGGCTGAGGTAGGGAGGCGCCGCTGAGCCGCCGCCAGCCTCGGAGAAGGAGGAGGAGCTCGTGCTGGAGAGCAGCATGAATGTGGCCGCGGCGGAGGTGGTGGAGGCCATGGCGGTGGCGCCGACGGGGAGCGGGTGGTTGTGCGTACCCTCGTACGTCGTCACCAGGATCGACATGTCTTCTAGGCATCGCTGCACCTGCAAATCGCGCACACCATTTATCACGAATCGCTCACTCCATGCACTGATGCAGTGATGCACACGTACACATAATTCGAAGCAGCCGGCCGGTGCGACGAAATTTAGTGGTAGAGACTGCAATGCATGCGCTGAAGTGGCAAGGCAAATATTTGGTTACCTGCTTGCGCACCGGGCATCCCGGCGCGACGGTGCACCGGTAGTAAGCTCGCGGGCACGGGTTGCCCTTGGCGACCTTCTGCCCGTACTTTCTCCACTGGCACCCGTCGTTCATCTGCATGCACGCACACGAACGGGATCACTCGTCTCATCATCAACTTGGCCGTGAAATCATGCACAAGAACTCGATCAGTGAGATGCAGCTGCATGCGTCTTACAGTGGGGCCTTGGCATCGGACGCGCACGGAAACCCTAGTTTTGCGGTTGGCCGGGTTGACGCTCTGGCTCGTGATCCCGGCCGCGGCAAGGTCGCCACCGGCGGCCGCCGGTGCCCCGAGCTTGCTACTCTCCAGCAGCGCGTAGCCCTTCGCCTTGCCGTCGGCGCCGACCATGGAGGCGCCTTCCAAGTCGTGTGCATGCCTCGCCTCCAGCTTCTCATCCTCGTACGACGACGACGCTCTCAGGCTCAGGGATAGCCCAAGATCCTCCTTGGCGTCGTCGTCGGTGTCATCACTCCCCACAGACGGCCGCCGCGCTGCTTGCCGTTCCTTGCGCTTCGGCTCCGGGAAGCCGCCGCCAATCCCGGCGGCGGTGGCACCGAGGGAAAGGAACACCTCGGGCTCCTGCGCGCGCATCGAATTAGAAATCAAATCAAACCACGGATCCAATTGACATGGTAATTATGGTGTCACGTGGAAGAATTTTAAAAGCGGCACGAGATTGGCGCTAGCTAGCTAGATGGTGGAACATGGGGGTAGAATAGTAGGCTACAATTGGATAACACCCTAGCTAGCTAGATAAGAGATTAATTGATTAGCGTAGGATTATTAGCTACTCCTCTATTACCTTAGGCTCATCTGCCTGTTGCTGCTGATAGCAGGCTTCTACCTTCTTCTGCAGCTCGTGGTAGTCACGCACGGTCCGGTCGACGGCTCGCCGGAGCATCCGGTTCTCCTCCTTCATCTTCTCCATCTCCTCCTGCATCGCGCTCACCTGAAGACATACACACGCATGTCATTACAGGGGGAATTAAACAAGATGAACACTCGCTGCTTATCTGCAAAGGTTAATTAGCAACACTTGCTCCACCTATCGAAAAATAACTACACTATAGTACATCTAGCTAGCAGCCTCGCTCGCTAGCACAGCCCTTTAATTTGCAGATTGACTGTAACTCTGTAAGCTAGTATATGTGCTTTACCTCGTCTTGCACCATGGTGCTGTAGCTATCGTCCCCGTCGCCGTTGCCGGCGGCCTCTACCACGTTCTTGTCCTGCGCACGAGTTTCGCCCCCATCGTTCTCACCGTCGCCGTGGGCGTCCGCTGCCAATTGCTTGTCGTCCTCCATCTCCTCTCCTTCTTGAGTCCTATATTTGATCTCCTTGGTGCCGTCTCCTCCTTGGTCTACAACCACTTCAACTACCACCTTCTCCTCGCCGGTTTCCTCTTTCGGCGCCTCTCCTTGCTCCTTGAACCGTTCTTCTTTCTTGTCCACTTCACCATCATCCTTGTCCCGGCGGCGATCGCCTTTGCCTCTGCCGCCGCCACTGTGGTCTTCATCACTCCTCTCCGCCTCTAGGGAGAGATCTATCGCGGCCCTCTTCTTCTTGGATGACATGCTCTTGACCTCTATCTAGTTAGCTTGTGTACCTTTGTCTCTCTGCAGTCTGTACAGCTAATAAAAGGAGGAACGGTCTTAAATCCCAATGCTGCTTCTCCCGAGGCATCTAAGTCAATGTCCGGGTTGTCTAAGACGTAATAAAGAGGCAATGAGAAGGGAGACTCCTCTCTCATCAAACCTATTATCTCATGTCATTTCCTATTCAACAAATAGCCAGCCTACTTTGGTACATGCATGGCTGCATACACAACCTACCAAGCAACATTTATCTATTTGGGGGGGCACACATGTCAGAGACACACAGAGGGTACGTATCTGGTTTTCACAAGTCAATGAGACGATGTATGAGCAATGGCGATAGACGATTAATTTGAAGGGTGTGTTAGCGCACGGTGGTGTGATCCAAATGACAAGAATACCCAGTCAAGTGGGGTGCTCCGTCATGTGATGCGAGGAGCGTTTCCAACGCCAAGGATTGGTATTGTATGGAGCCCAGGTCAACTCTTTGGAATTTCTCTGATCAGGGGCTGACGTTGCTATCATCACCCGGCCACCTTAATTTCCCCCATTGATCTTAGGACAGGACAGATCAAATTGTGGGCTAGTATATATATGTAGCACAGATTTTATAACAAAAAACATGCCAACCACATATGTCAACTTTCAATGTTCTAGTATATCATAGAACGAACTGCTATATTCGAACTATTGACTTACCATATAATGTCACATTAGTTTAGTATCCCAGTGGTTCATACAATGTTAATGATTTGATGGAGAAGATATATAGCTGTAAAGACTTCATCAACAGGACAAAGAAATTCAACATGCATGCGTTTGATGAAAATACTACTTGGATGCCTTCTGTCTTCTGAAATAAGAAAATATGGTGATTGCAGTGTATTAAGAAATGCCCACGACTGTGTTGCGTCTATGTAAACCTAGCAAAGTCCACTAATGATGGTTTGGAGAAAGAAAAGTAGCTAATTAAGGCGTGGCCATTTTGTTTTCCTAAGGCTTTGTGATCCACAGATTTTATACACTTGCTTCGATGTCTCTGTTACTCAGACCTCTGCAATGTGTTGACCCATGGCATGCCATCGTCTGCATCCTAACAATGCAGTAGCCATTTCAGTGCCCCTCTCCTTCTAATCTCAGTACTACCAACTGAACACAAGGCAGGCCAAGTTGGCGCCGTACATACAGAATCTTGAGTCAACTTGCTTGGGCCACACAGAATTTCACGGGGCGTTTTTGTGCACTAGTTTTCTGCTCAACTATGCTCTCTTCCGTAATATACTACACCTTCGATCTGATCATGTTTCTCTTTTCTTTTATTCACTTTATTATATAGTTATATGCTTCCTCATGATGATTCAGGTCAACTGGTTGTTGGAACCAAAAACTGGCTAACCCTTGTTCCTTGTGGACCTTGGACTTGGAATAGATCTCAAGGCTCTTATATTGTTAGCCCTAGAAGCATAAATATATTACCCATGCAGTCATGTATAGACAATCACGCAACTAATTAGGATAAATGCTTACTGCGACATCTCTGACTTGTACAAATATATAAACCTTTAGTTTTTGTAGCTAGTTTGGAAAAAAATGCCAGCTCTTCAGGAGAGGAGAAGCCCCGTACGAAATCAACAAAGCTTCGAGATGGAGCTATTGTAGGATTAATTATATTTAAAGAAAATATATGTGGAGCATTGTCTGCTTGGACTCTTCTCCTTTTAAGTAGGAGTAACTGCCCACATGGTTCAAAATTTCCTTGAAATTTCATGAATTTCAGTAATTTCAATGTAGCTGAAAGAAAAATCCAAAATTTTGTATTACACTGATGCATATGCTTTATTGTAAATGTATAACTCTAGACCTATATTTTCTATTGTTTATGTTGCATATTCTTCTATTCAATGGATATGTAGTCATAAATCTTCTAATATTTTGTTTAGATCCAAAAATTTTGAATCATATTTCTTCTTAAGTCTCTAAAAAATTGGTGAAAATTTCACTAAAATTTTGGTAATTTTGAGGGATACCGAAATTGAAAACCCTAATTGCAGGGGAATCTGATATCATCTATATATATTCAGAAACATCTCCTAGCTACTCCCTCCATTCTAAATTATATTTCACTTTAGTTTTAACCTAAGCCACATTTCTCTAATTTTAATCAAATCTATTGAAAAAAATATATCAACATCTATAGTATTAAATAGTTTTATTAATATATGTTTTGATAGTGCGTCTTATTTGAACTTGTAGATGTAGTTCAAAGATGGAAAAGTTTGGGTCATAGCATAGCAAAGTGATCTAGAGTACGTACATCCATACATAGGCTTGTTAATTATTTCAACATTTTGGTCTTTTTGTTCGAAAAATTATAACTCTTCGTAATTTTGTGAACTATGATAGAAAAACTTTTTTTTAGAGACGGTTATAATGGGTTTTCAGAGACGGCTGCTTCCCCTGCCTGCACATGTGTTTCTTTAGAAATCAACGATTTCTAGAGATTGTTATTTAATTGTATCTAAAAATCAATTTCTAAAGGTGGATTAAAACCTAGCTACTTGTAAAAATCGATTTCTAGAGGCGGGCTGAAATCCAGATGCCTCTAGAAAACCATTTCATAGAATTTGAATATCAAGCCAAAAATAACAAATTTTTTACTCTCGAAGAAGCCCGCCAAGTAACCCTCACGGATTTGTGTGAAATACGTGCACATGCGGCCACAGGGAGGATCGAACTCATAACCTAATCCTTCTGTATTCACTTAAGCGAATATTGTAATGAATATTTGAGACCCGAAATGAATTAAAATGAAAAAAATTTAAGCTGGAAACTTTTAGATCTCGTCGAGTAAACAACTTTGATATAGGTCATTTCTCTATCCACGATCAATTTCAGAAATAAAAAACAAATTTGAAAACTTAAAACATAATTGTCGGGCCTAAATGATTTCAAATGAAAATACTATCAACTACTGATATAACTTTTTCTTCATCTGACTTGATTTGCAAAAGGTTATAAATTTCACTATGTTGCACATTTTTAAAGGCAGGACAATTTGCCAAGTACTTTCGAGATCTGCAACTCTTGATTTAAAAAAATATGTATTGTACTGTGTTGCACATATTTTTTTTGACTGGTCAAATTGTCAAACGTCACTAGAAATGATACTTTTAGAGGTTGTTAGGCTTTCTCGCCACCTCTATTAAATAGAGAATATTTATAGAGGTGGTTAAGTTTTGCAGCAGCCTCCAAAGGATCGCGGCGTGCTAAATCATTCACTACTTTTAGAGCCGGTTCTTGACAAAATCATCTCTTAATAAAAATGAGACGCCTTAAAAAATCATTTCTATAGTAACAGTGTTTACCTCGGTACACATGACATGCTAGTGCGTTGGGATGTTTATCTTAACGGATGGGGACTTCCCGATCGATGTCTTAACGATTTTCCAATTTTCCGGCGATCATGGTGGGGCGACGACCTCTGCTCGCGTTAAGCTATAGCTACACGGCTTGTTCGTTTCGTCGTAAACGATCGTAGATTATTTACTGCTGGCTGGTTTGGTGTGAGAGAAAAATATTGTTCCAGCTTATAATCTACGATCGTATACGATCAAGCGAACAGGCTGACAGCTAGTGTGTCGGCCGTGGCATCTTTGCTTGGAAGTTTCCATGGGTCGTTTCACGTGGCCGTCTTGTGGCAAGCAGGATTCTAGATCCGTCGATCGATCTATACGTATTAATCAGCGCCATCAGCTTTTCCGGTTCATTAAATAATCAATTTGTTTTTTCTTATGAGTATAGCCCAGCCTGTTAGGTTCATTCGAAATTCAATTTTCAACCTGATTTGGGTAGATAACATGTCTGTCTACGACGAGATGTCTGTAATGACTTTATGAATCCTCAGAACTACTGGCTTATTATGTCTTTCTTAAAAAAAAGGATTTGTTTTTCGCTTAGTATGCTACATATACGATGCATATGCGTACGCACAAGTCGTATATATGACCGTTATTATTATTTCACGTTTTTGACGGTGAGAATGCATGCGTGGTAAAATATTCAAGCAGAGAGACGGACATGGAATATTAAGCTTTCGCCATCAATCTGCTGGTTTTGTCGAGTTTGCACGTTGATCGTTCCACGAGAGACCCCTGCTGGATCGCGATATTTGCCACGAGGAGGATTTAGGAGGAATACTTAATTCTGACCATTTCCGAATTCCGATCCTTTAGTTCTGAATTTCCATGGAGAGATAAGGGAGTCATAATCTTCAGCATATATAGCGTTAAGTTAATTGTCAACATGGGGTACCTACACAAATGCAAGTCACGCACGTTACCAGATCCGTGTCAAGACTGCACGTAACTTAGCTAGAGGTTCACGATCACACCAACTAGCTAGTAGCATCAGTGATAATGTAATAATAGTGAAACAAACCACTGGTGATTGAAACACCCTATCCTCCTAGAGTATATGTAACGTGTTGGTGACGCGACACGTATCACCCATTCACCCCTCGATTGTTCCATCGCGTCACATCCATATGGATCTTGACATGGGCAAATGATCAATAGCCGTACTATAATGGAGCACGGCACCCGATGCGTGCGTGCGTGTAAACAAAACAAGGCCCTGTTTAGTTGCTTACAACTTTCAACTTTGGCACTATGCAAAAAGAAGATATCCGTCACATCAAACTTGTGGTACATGTATGGAGTACTAAATGTAGACGAAATCAAAAACTAATTGCACAATTAGGCTGTACTTTGCGAGACGAACGTTTTGAGCATAATTAGTCAACGATTGGACAATTATTACCAAATACGAACGAAATGCTACAGTGCGCACAGTGAATCCGGCGGCGCCGAATTCGGCCAACTAAACGCGGCCAAGGTTCAACTTGAACTCTGCTGGATCAAGTGCCTGATGCATGCCCTGCTGGCTGCTGCTGCCCATGGCTCGCGCCACGGTCATCGCCG